TACCACCTATTTCCAATCCCCTTGCCATGGACAGGGACACCTTCCACTAGACTATATTGGTCAAAACTCTATCCAACCTGACCTTGAATACTCCCAGGGATGGAACATCCACAACTTAATTGATCAGTCTGTCCCAGTACCTCACCATCTTCACAGTAAAGAATTTTTTTTTCCTTCTAATATAAACTGACTGTCTTTCAGCTTGAAACCATTCCCCTTTGTCCTTTCACTACACAACCTTATAAAATATCTATCCATCTTTTTTGTAGGTTCCCCTCAGGTACTGGAAGGCCATAATTACGCCACCCACAAACCTTCTCTTTTCCAGGCTAAACCATCCCAATTCTCTTAGCTTTTCCTTACAGGAGGGATTTTCCATCTGTCTAACGATCTTGGTGGCCTCCTGTGGACTTGTCCCAATAGATCCTGTGCTGGAGCTCCCAGAGCTGGATACAGCATGACAGGTGGGCTCTCAACAGTGCAGAGGGGCACAATCCCCTCCCTCACCCTGCTGGTCACTCTCCTTTGGATGCAGCCCAGGACAGGATCTTCCTGGCTTTCTGGGCTGTGAGTGCACATGGCTGGGTTATCTCATCCACCAGCATTCCCAAACCCTTCTCATCAGGGCTGTCTTGATTTGCTCATCCCCCAGCTTGAGTTGACATTGGAGGCTGCCCTAACCCAGGTGCAGCCCCATGTACTTGGTCTTCATGGAATTCCCATGGGCCCACTTCTTGGGCTTGTCCACCTCCCCCTGGGTGCCTCAGGTGCATTAAATGAATCACTCAGCTTGATGTCATCTCCAAACTTGCTGAGGCTGTGCCTGATCACTTTGTCATTGTCTGTGTCATTAATGATGATATTAAATAATCCAATACAGAACCCTGAGGGACAGCACTTGTCACTGATGTCCACTGAGACTTTGAACCATTGACTTCCATCCTCTGGATGCGACCATCCAACCAATTCCATATCTATCAAACAGTCCACCCATCAAATTCATCTCCAACTTAGAGAAAAGGTTATTCTGGGGGTTCATGTCAAAGGCTTTACAGATAAATTACTTTAACAATCCTTCTCATGTCCACTGATGTAGTCACCCTATGGCCACTAGGTTTCTCCATTCTGCCCTTTTTGCAAGGGTTTTGTAAAATGAGGCAGTGTCACAAACTGAGACATTTCTCTTGAGAAACTTCATTTCATGGGATGGGTGCATGAAGAACCAACCCACCAGGGGTGGTAACTTGTCAGTCTGGTTTCACGGTCTCATGACCATCTCACAAATGCTGGAGTTTCCTCGCTAGCTCACCTTTATTGGGGTGAGCTAAGCTCAAGCACAGAGATAACTCTTCCAAAATAGCTATGATAGAAGGTCATCCTTAAACTTATTCTAACTTACGCAGGCACTAACAAACCATGTCTCATTATTGCTAGGCATATTTAGTCATAAGTGTCAAACTGTCACAAGAATTCCACAGTAAACCCTTACTGCCACTATCTGTAGATTCAGGCTCACATAGCAGCAACAACTAATGTGTAAGAATTTCTATTAGTGAAAACACTGCATGCAAGTCACTGGAAATTATTATTGAAGAAAGTCTTTCTACAAATATTTTTTTGTTCTCTAGCACAGCTGCCAATGCTGATGTATTACCTTTTCTTTCCTTCTTATTGCATATAATTTTAAAACACACAAAACTGCAGATGACCTATTATAAAACTATTATGTTTACCTGCAGACATGGCTTCACTTAGAAAGCAAACCTACTGAAGTACCACAGAGGGCCAAGTCCCTCTGGAATATCTTCTGTTCTTTTTCTGAGCCAAACTTGTGTTGATTTACCTCAGAAATTAATAAGTATGCATTGCATAATACAAACCTTCCTAGAAAAGACAGCTTCCTTGTTACAAGTGCTGGAAACGTGAATAAAAGGAAAAAGACAACACTACAGAAGAACTCATGAGCAAATTGCTTTTAGCTCTGTCTGAGGTCTGGTGACAGGGTTTTGGTTATGAGTATTAACAAAACTTTTCATAAGTGGTCAATAAAGGCCCTACTTGGAACCCCCTGGCACTGAGTTTCAGTTTGCTGAAACTATAAATACTGACTCTGTATATATGATGTTAGTGGAAGACAGACTTTAAAGGCAAGGAGTGGGATAAAAAGCCAAGTGCTTTAGAAGTGGATAAATTCATGGTCTGGAAGCACCATGAAGACATTTAGGAAGAGGCAAGCCAACAGCTTGCAGCATGTCAATGCTATCTAAAATGTCCATGAACCTGACTTTTTCTGTTCAAGTAGGCATAAATGGCTCATTTTCCACTAAAAGAAAAATAAATTTGCTTAACCTCTGCCCAATAACTGCGTTTGGACAGTTACTATGCAAGAAAAATAGTTAGTAAAAGAATCACACTCAAGCTAAAACTACTATAATAATTTCTGTGCCTATGCAGTGTAACAGTGATTAGCAAGAAAAGTATGTGCAAAATTGTCTCATATATTTCTGTGTTCAAATACTGTGACTGAAATAAGGTCTGAGCTATACAGCAAACAACAAAATGTGCCTGCTGATTTGCTGAATACACGTTACAGTGCCCTGAGCAAAATACAGTAATTATAGCAACAGACATAGACAGAAATCTCACAAGAGTTTGGCAAATAAGGATTCCATAAACAACTTCATTCTACTATTCCTTTATGCTTAACTTTTTTTTCAAAGTCATTTTATGTCAGGAGATTTCCAGCCTTAGTGGTAAGCAAACTAAAGGAGAAAATCTTCACCACATTTTCATACCCAAGTACCAGAGACTAATGAAGACACAATCATTGGAAGAGATAGGGTGACTCAGGAGCCAGGGGAAGCACTTGCTGATAGGGATCTCACCAACAGGACACAATCCCACACCAGGTCACAGTAAACAAGGTATATCTGCACCCCTAGACATGACAAAGGAGCGCTCCAGCAGTCTCAGGGGCAACAGAGTCCTGACAGGAATAGCAGTAGACATGGACAAAGACAGGGCTGGAGAAAAGCCACCAAGGTTCACTGAGGAATCAGAGCTGGAGACAAGGCTGTAACAAAGATCCAAGTACATTCAAGAGACAGGGCTACTCTCCAAATAGGTTCAAGGTCCAGAGAGCCATATAAGTTTTTTAAAAGCATTAATCTAACACAGTGGTACAAAGCCAAGTGATAGCTTTATATCCCCCTAACTTCCACTCACACAACCCATTGATAAAGTAGTTCAGAAACAATTTATAGTGAACTTGTAGTTGTGTCAGCAAGAAAGGAGCTAAGAGCTATTCCATGGAATGGCTTGGGAGACTCCTCTAGTTTCAAACAGCCTATTCTGCCACACTTCATAGGAAGGTGTACAATAAGCCAGCTAACCTGCAATGCTCTGGATTCAGAAGTCTCTGTTTCAGCTGCAAGAGGTGGGTTTTGAATCTTGATTAGCACAGTTCTCTACAAACCAGAGGCAGTATCTGTGAATCTCTGCTGAAGAATCCTGCTCATTGTAATGAAAATTGGCTTGAAATGCAGAATTTTATGCCTGCCTATTCAGATCTGAGTCCAGACTGGCATGGAAAAATAGGCAAGTGCTTTGAAAGAATGTAATTTTACTGACCATATCTAGAACTTGAATTCATGTCTCTCCACTTTGCTTACAATTTCCAGGATAAAAGGAAACAACCAAAGCTCTAGTCATACCACATGTTGAAACTGGTATACTACATAGATTTGAAGTCTGTCTAGGCAACCCAGGCCATGTGGGAGACCTGAGTCCAAAGAAAGCTCATATTAGGCCCAAATATCTTGGTCTGAGTTCAAAGGGCCATCCTTGGACAGGGCAGGGGGCACATAAGGCCATTAGGGCAATAAAGGCATCACATCTGACAGTGATTATGAGCAGAGTCAGAATCTTCAAAACCAGCTCTTTTCTTGTCAACAAAGAATTAATGGATTCATAACAAGATAAGGATTTCATCCTGGTTAAATGTGCAGCTCTAATTATGGTCAGAGCAGCTTTTATATGTGCATATGAAAATTGCACTAGTATGAGAATAATACGGCACAGTTGGGATGGGTTTTTATCAAAATGCCATGAGGCACATCCTTTATCCCAGGCACCTGCTGGGTCCTTTGCCTGCCTTTTTAGCACACTGACTGGTAAAAGCACAGCAAGTACTGTGGCTGCTCTATAGCTGTGTGCAAGCTGGCTTGCAGCTAACAGAGCTAAAAGTCTGTTCAGTTCCTCTGCTACCCCTTAGCTGAGACAGCAGCTGAATTTTTCTCCCTTACATAGCTGATGGTTTTTACAAAGTTTGTGATAATTTGGTGTCTTTGAAACTGGCCCTTGGAGATAAAACAAGTGGGGGCTAATATGACTGGATGATTGAACAGGTCTTGTTTCCTTAAAAACCAACTGAAAACACATGAGCCATGAAACAGGAAGCGAACATAAAATATTTCAGCCTAAAAACTACAGTCTGTCAGTGCCTTAAAGAATTAGAGTTTACACTAATAAGGAAAGTATTGCGCGATATCTCCTCTCTCCTATCTTATCAACTCCAGTATTTTCTTAAAGTCATTGAAATGAAATAAATACATAAGTATGGATAAAGCATTAAATCAATACATTATAATTAGGTTAATATAGTATAATAAGATTAATTTCACTATATACTGTAACCCAGGAGTTCTGTGTTAACTACCATTAATATAGAAGTGTGCAATGAAAAGCAGCCTTTACATTCTGTTTTACATGGAGTGTATAAGAGATGTGGTACTGAATAAAACTAAGAGGATAAATGATGTAATCATGTAATAAAAGTATTAGTGATTCCAAATGAAGAAGTATAAAACATAAAATATTACTGGTTTGTGTCCTAGATTGTGTTTCCATTTTGAAGTTGATTCTCCTTGATCTTTGACTGCTGTATGTTTTAGATTTTTTTCAGATTTTCATTCACAATCACTTTCCTTATCCACCTACAGGAAAGAAGTTGTGCAAAGACCTGTTTAACTTAGGCTGATGAGGAAGTAAGTGCACATTTTTCATACAGTATCAAAATATTATCACATAATTGTGGTCAAAATTTACATCTGTAAAGACTTTACAATATTTTCTGCATGTTGAATATCATATCTTTTTTTTCAAAAAGGTAATATTGTATTAGATACGAAAAATAGCAAAGCTTGCTAAAGTAGTGTTAGAAATCTGATTTACACTACAACAAATCAAAGAAATATATTTTTTGTTTCTCTTCATCATCAACAATCCAACTGATTTCACTCTATTAATCATTTTACGCATGTTACTCTTACTATTTTAATATTTGAAAGAACCTCCAATAAATTTATTGTGAGAAGACCATGTTCTCAGAAATCTCAGTGAAGAATTCTCACAGAATTCATTAGAATACACAAAAATAGTCTCACAAAATAACTTCCAAAAGATCATGCTTTTCCAAATAGCTGATGACACAATTTACCAAACCGAAGAAAAATGTGGGTTATTTATTGAATGCCACTATAAGCAGTCAGTTAAGGGCATTTTATGTAATAAATTGAATGGTCAATGTAGCTCACACAAGATGCTGTAGGAACAGCTGCTGCACATCTTTTTTACCCAAATGGCCCTCTGAAGCCCCCTGCAGTCATTGATAGGAATAAGGCATCCACCTTGCCTCAGAAAGGTATTGTGAGTACAGATTGCTGCTGCACAGCACTGCACCCATGCACACAAGCATGCGCATGAACACAGAACTAGTCTGTCTTTTTTAATGGTAATATCAAACAATATAAAATGTTTTTATATAATGGCATGGAAGTTATTTTGGTGAGGCAATTCTATTTTTTTCACAGAGAACAAAACTAAATAGTTTGCAAAACTGTGCTGACCATGATTGTAATATCTAATATCGATTTTAAAGGGTCAAACATTACTGATATTTATTTTTGCATTTATACTGATAATATCTAGCTGAACAAGACTTTAGTCTCCTGGGGAGCTGAGGACCAAAGCAACCAGGTTTCTCTTCACTGCTGTTATTTTAAGAAAGCCTAATGTTAAACTTCAGGTTTTCATTTAGTGTTCCTTTGTATTATGTTGTTAAGATTTTCATACTCTAAAAATAGTTTCTTCCATTTAGTAGAACACATTCTAATTTTTACCTCTGCTTCATCTCCATTTCCTCAATAACTAAACTCACACTTCATTTATAATTTATGCAAATACTTGGGTGATTTAGGTGGTTTACCTTTCAAGGCCCCTTGATGTAAATTTTCTGAACTGTGCCCTCTGATGTGATCAGGTGAGCTAAGAAAAGACATATTCACCTCTTGGATTATATTTACATAATCCCAAATCTTCAAGTCTTTTCAAATCTTTTGAAAACTCTAACCGTATGTAGCCACACAAGCATTTTACATATTCAGACAGAGATTTTCTGCTTAAAACTGATTTAAGGTGAGCCACGGAGAGATAAACACACACAGGATTAACTGGACCCCTCCAGGCTGCAACAGGGAGGACTCATAAGGGACTGTTTGTCCCAGATGACATTTAATTATAATAAGCAGAATCCAAGTCATTAGATCACACATCTGTATGTGTGTTTTTGAATGAAAACTATTAAGAGGGGAAAAAGATAAAATGAACATTCAGAGTTCTGTATAATGTCACAGAAACAAAAATCTTGAACTGATGCTTTAATTTCTCCTCTTAAAGCTGGTTATTAATGTAAAATATTAAGACAGCAAATTAGCATATAATTCAAAAAAAACCCAGTTCCTTTTCCCTCACTGTTACAAGTTTTTTTTTACTTTTTAAGGAATTTATCTAGATTGCCAACAACAGACCCAGAAATTCTGGAATGAAGCACAGAATCCAAAGCATTTAGATCTTATGCTTCTCCATGTTCATCCATTATATAAAATATGAAGTGACATTGTGAGCCAGAAAAAAATAATCATGTCACCTTCTGCCCCACCATGATTAGATCCCCAGGAGCCCTGCTGAGTCACTGTGCTTCCAAATCTACATAGGCAGAGCCTCAGACAGTGCCCCAGGGCAGGCAGCATCCTCTGCTTTGATTCCAGTCTTTTCCCTCTCTTGTATTTGTAGGTTCTTCCTATATTCCCTTCTTATACAGCTCAGGCCAAATACATTCATATTATAGTTTTTAAATCATTTGAAAGCCCTTCCTCAGTCTTTATCATAAATATATTAGATGGCTTACACCTGCCAAGTGCCAGCCAGAATCATGCTTTCTGTTTCAGCAGCAGCCATAAAACTAGAAGAAGGTACATTCTTACAGTCTGATAACTCTGACAACACATATCATGACAGTCAGTGGCTCTTGAAGCAAAAATGCAAAAAAGGAATCAAGTTCCTATGTTTAAATAGAGAATAAGAAATTTTTATCACTGCATGACAAAAATATAAGCTGATCCTTCAGGGGAGGTGCCTACCAATTCTGAAGTAAATGCAGACTGTATAATATCAATTTCACCTAATAATTGTTAAAAATTAGTAACATTAATGAAAGGCAATTGGACTGAAGTATATTATTAAATACAGTTGTTTTCTTTTTAATAATTGATGTCTGAAAACACACTTGCAGTTTAGAGCTATGATTTTCTCACATTGCCTAGCAACCTGTGCAAATATAGAACTGCAGATGCAAAACTACTGACCTTTCTTTCATGCCTGCTTTCCAGTGCTTATTTTTTCTATCCTACACAGCAACAGAGGAAAACCAGAAAAGAGATTTCAAACACTGAACTCTTCAGTATATACTAAACATTTCAGATAACAAAATCATTAAAAAATCCTTTGCTTAGCAGAAGAGCAAACTATTTTATTTAAGTAAGCCTAGAATATGTGTAGAGTCTCACAGATCCTTCATTACAGAGAGAATAGTTACTCACCCTACAATATCTGTGTCTCTTAGGAAGAGTCAGCAGTGCAGATTTCTTTCCTAGTGCACATGTATAGCATGGGGGAGGTTTTCTTTTAGACCAACACTATCCACTGAATCTATTTCTGCTCTTAAGTGTACCTGCATTCAGCCTAAAGAGAGGGTTGAACTACTCATTTCTTTTCTTAGTAAAGACAAACTTGGATTATTCAGCAAATGGGAAGAAGAGCACATTCAAAACATAACAGCACGTTGAAGAAAAACTGGGTAATAAAGACCACACCTTCTTCCCATAATGCCAAAATACAATTTCCTTGATTACTTGAGAGTGTGTCATGGGAAAGCATGCACAGTGAAAGAGCTGAGAGAGAGAACCTATTACTCCTCTAGCCAGGAGTGGAATGCTGAACAATAATATCTGTCATAGAAAACTAAATAAGCAACAACATGCATATAGATGGGGCTAGGCTGCAATCAGTCTAAGAGGTGGAAATACCTCCTTGACATAAAACATAACATGAATGCTTCCCTTTTTGCGGGGAAGCAGATTGAAAGAGAAAAAAAGATCTCAAAATATATATAGAAAAGAAAAATTGGTGCATTTGTAAATAACACAAAGCTTATGTAAACATATTTTCTCTGAAGTTGTTCCAATATGCTTGGGATGTACCTCCAGAAAGCCCTCTACAAAACAATCTCACTCCATACTGAAGTTGTGGTTTGGGTTAGGAGCAAATACTATTCACGTTTTCAAAAACCTTATAACTTTTTTTCCAAGTATTAGACAGACTTTTAATCTCAAAACAGATTTAACAATCCATAGCAGGAGAAAACAGATGTGACTAGTATTTGGTGCAAACTTTGACTCATGTTTCTCATGACTCCTTCAGTTGTGGTTGCCAGTGATCCCTACATTTGTGATATTGGTTTCATGCCAATTTTCAGTGTGTAGAGTTTCAGAAGCAAAGGGTTTTCAGAAGCCCATGGAGATTAAACCCATCATTCCACTACCCTACTCATTAGGTAAGCTATTCTTATGTTTTATTTTTCTCTTAGAAGACATTACAATACACTGCACAAGGACAGTACAAATTAAGTGAAACTAAGAAAAATGTTTCATACTTATAATTAGCTTACAAAGAATATAATTAACTTCATAAATATCAAAGGTCATTGTAGGTTTCTGCTGTTGTTGCTGTCATAAATTAGGAAACCTCTTCAAAGATAATTGAGAGAAAAACTGACATTTTTATTTACTTCATGCTATTTGTCTGAAAATGACTTAGATGTTCTAAATGGTTGGATTCTCGTTTTTTCCCCCGATAAGCTGACAGGTATTTTCAAGCCACATCTTTTTAGAAAGGACAGTAAAAGAGATAAACTGCCTAAAGGATAGTCAGAATTTGGGGAAATTTAGGGAACTACAGTGCTGTAGTTTTCCCCTATCAAGTATAACTGTTCTGTTTTCCTACCCAGCTCAGCTTGTTTTTGAAAGTTCTAGTCAGGCAAAAAAATTTCCAATTAATTAAAGAATTAACAAGTGTGAAATAAATAAACACTTAGTGTATTCATCTGAATAGTGTAAAATAACAAGAAAAAAAAAAGGCAATTATTTATGTTGAGTTATTTTATAATCTTATGCTTATGAAACCATTAAAGTCCAGGCTATAAAATTAAAAAATGGATTTCTTACTAAAAAAATGCATTATTATTTTACGTAATAGTTTCACTGTCTAGAAAAGAATAACATTTCCTTCAGGAAGCATGGAAATAGAAAACTTAGGGTAAAACAAAATTTATTGTATTATAAACGCACGATTCATCTAGATACAAAAATTTAAAAAAATCACTTTGCTCTCTATTTTTCTAAATTTAAAGATCCATCCATTAAAGTTCCATGTTATAAAATTTTTTGGTTGTTTTCTTACACAATGCATGATTTAAATCAAGTAGAGGTATTTACATAATTTGGGGCATTCTTTGAGTCACAGGTTTCTTAAGACAAATTGTGACCCTATCTGTGAAATATTACCTATCTGAGGTCTCTGCTTCCTCTAAATTTCATATTTTAGATGTTATTTTAAGCCATGCTAAACACTGTCATCATCACTACAATATGAAACAGTGGAGTTTAGTCTTCTCCATTTATCTTCATTTTAGTTAACTGGAGATTTTCAACACCTCAGAAAGTCAAGGCAAGACATAATAAAAGAAAACTAAAAGAAATAATAAAAGAATGAAAATGAGTAGGAGGAGAGAAAAAAAGAATTCTAATTTTGCTGATGCTTCTTGCTTTTAAATTAATCACTTTAAAACATTTTGACAACCATGTATGAGTAGTTCTATTCTTTTGTAGAACAAACTTTATTAAAATTCATAATTTTTCTCTTCTGCATACAATTCCAAGCTTGTTAGCTATGTACAGTTACTTATAATTAACTAAATACAGTTAATAATCAAGTTCTTAAATTAAAGGTGATTGAGTTTCTGAAGATTGGATCGTGGTTTTGATAATAACTTTTTTAATGCACAAACACATCCAGAGTTTTTAAGCAAGTTAGCTTCAGCCTTCACATTCTCATTCTCACATGAAGAGTACAATTTAGTGGCATATGACACAAGCATTACCATGCCATTTAAAAGCAGGTTTGGCGATATATTTTGCAGAGAAGAGCAATTACCACACCATTTTGTGAAAAATATCAGTTTCCTGATGTTTGAATGACTAAATTTTCTAAAATCAGCTGCAAGATTTTTCAAGCTGATACACAGAAAATAAAGCAAAGTTATCTGATATAGATCAGCAACAGACTCATCATATTTTTAAAATACATTTTTTCTATGCTATTTCATAAACAAATTTTTAAACCATGCTGGATAATTTTCACAATTTACCTGTCTTTTAAACATGTTTATTGAAAATAAGCAATTGAAGATTGCACAAGGCTTTATATACAATGAATGCAACCATCATGATTTGCATGTCTTTATGTGATTCTTCTGAAGAGAGATCAGGAATTTAGAAAAATTCCTACTGCTGTACTATGTGTTGTTTTTTTTTACCAACTCTTCAGGAATTTCTCTTTGAAATATACATATCCAGCTAAATTAATCTATCCAAATAAAAAGGATACAGAGGACAACAAACTTCCTCTGCTGAAATTTAAAGAGCAAGGTGTACAGTCTAATTACTGCAAGAGAAAAACAGTGACTGAGTGGTAGCTCTAAATCATTCTTTAGGGGTCTTCCAAAGAACTGAATACCTGTCGCCCTGAGAATCGGGCCTTTTGATATTGTTTTCATAATTTCTAGCCACTTTCCCAGGAGAGTAACAATAAACATAGGTGTTTATACATTCCATTAAAACCTTTTGATGGACGTCTCTCACAACCAGTGCTATTGAGAAGGTGGTAACCTGACTGTCCAATCCCTGGTCGTTGTCAAAAACCTATAAATACTGAAAGGACAGAGTAAACATTCTTCTTCTTTCATCACACTTTGAGCTGTGTCTATGTGAATCATTTCATGTCCAACAGTGACAAATACCCACCCTTGATCCATGGCAATGTGCTAATGAACAGATGGCTGATATTATTTTGTAGGGAAGCAAACACATCCCTTGTAATCTCTGCATAGCTGATGGAAGTTTGACACTTTCAAAAGGCTGGGAAGGAGGTGACATCATGGGTAATGGTAGCAAGTCTTTTAAATGTTGTTTTTTTCCTTACCTCTGCTGACATTATGGGATTTCAAAACAGTGGAGAAAAGTGAAATATTAAAAATTGAAAAGAAACTGGAGAAAGCAAATATTAATTATCACTAAGAAACTTTCATAGATCTCCTCATTGCTGTTAAGATTTCATGAAAGCTGCCAGGGAGATAAAAAAACCTCAAGTTTTTGCATTTAGGAAAAATCTTTTATTAACAGAAAATGTTCATCAGCTGGCCACAAAACACTCTGGAAAAAGAGACAAAAGCATCCTATGTTTTATCTGCCACGAGAGCTCTTGATGATAAATTATATTATGGAAGTCTTTGCCAATATATGTCAAAATACCTCATTGCACTCTTTTTTTTTTTTTTTTTTTTTTTTTTTTTTTTTTTTTTTTTGTCTTTCAAGAATCCCTGGCTTTGGATAAACAAAATTGTAGCAACACTGCCAGTCACCTGTCTTTCAGCAATCATATGTTTGCTTTTCATAGTTAGTGACACAGAGTAACATCTAAGGAAAGAAAAGTTGGGTTATATTTCTTTTTTTAAATCATAAACAAAATTCAATGTTTTCTATGTCAAGAAAACTAACTTTATCCTCTCCAACAGATTGCTGCTGTTCTGAGATGCTGCATACTCAAATTACAACACTTAATGCACAGCAAACAATAGAACGAGGAAACCATGCAACATTGGACTAAACTTAAATGAATGGAATAGCAACCCCACTTTTAATGTGATCTGCAATATAAGTTCCTTTTACTTTGGAAAAATATATATAAACACTACAAACCTTTAAAGGAATTCTGTTCTTCCTGTCAAATACAAGTTGTTACCCAGTTTTTATCTTACCACACTAGTTTGTATCTTACCACACTAGTTTGTCTAAGTAACTAAAACATATTTCTTATTTCTTGATTAAATTATGCTTGAAGGCTTATTCTTTGCTCTAAAAATACATTTTAAAATTAAAATATCTAAAGTAGTATTTTATTATAATTTGTATCTCATAATTAGATAATAAATTATAATAGTCAAAATCTGGAGAGTTGCAGTGTTTTTCTATTTTGTTGTGATATTCTTCACTGTAACCACACAATAGACAAATAGTTACATGACATCTCATCTAGAATTTTAAGAGGAATAAGGTTATTTAAAAAAGAACCACATTTTCATAATAGCTTGCCTGAAAATTTTATCTCTTCTGTCAATATTTAGAGGTCTGCATCTCTAGACATGTCCATATCAAATTTATAATGGTAAATTATATACAAATTTTGTTCAATTGCTTCAAGATTCCTGGGCATACTGTTGCTTTTGTGTTCATGAAGATTATATTTCTTAATATACCCCCAATGAACAACACTTCAGGTTCTGCTGCAGACTTCACTGAGACATTTTGTGTAGCACAAGGTTGGAACTGCTTCCTGGTAAGCCAAATTAAGAAATAACCAAACTGAGGAGTAATCTGTTTCTGATCTTCCCACAATGCTCACTTGCCCTATTATCTGAGATGGAAGATAAGAAAATCTTCACAACTCACACACCTTGAACATTAAAAAAGTCATCTACTCCCTTTACAATATTTTACTTTCTTCCTCCTAATTTCTCTCCAAATTACCCAGAAAGACTTCCATGTTGTCTTAAAGTCAACACTAAATAAGTATTTTATTATGCTTCACAGAGTAAGGAAGAACAGCTTGTTGTATTCACTTTCATTTTAGGTATGCTTACAAATAGCTTTTTGAAACTTTAGGAATTCCTAATTATGGGAAATGTTACTTGAAGATATCTGAACTCTAAATTTTTAAGTGTCAAAATTTACAGTTAAAATCTAAAACATTGGTTAAATATAATAGATACACGGCTACACCAATACATTGAATAGTGAAGTACACTGCATGTTTTTTTCTAGATCTATTTAAGTAGCAGAGGTCAAGGTGTTCTCATCAGCTTTTAATTAGTATTTCTTTGGAAACCTTGAGACTATTTCTTTGAGACTGGAAACTCTAGGCATGAGTCCAGAAAGACATGTTTTGCAAAGTGAAGGAGAGAAGAAATGTAGAAAAAGTCACAATTGTTTTGGTTAAAATCTGAAACAATTAATACAGGAGCAAACTCAAATGAAAACAAAGTAATATGCAGATCTGGGAATATTTTCCCCCTTTCCATGCCAAGCTGAAATCCTTCCCATGCTACTCTGGAAGGAGCATGCAACCATACATAAGGTGTTAGTTTTATGAATAGGGCACAAGGCATGATTATATACTTTATCTAGATGAAGGGAAAGGCAGAATTTGAGTCATATGTCAAATGGGTCTACAGTTGATAATGGAAAGAATTTGATCAAAAAATGAAAGAAACTTCAATGCATTTTATGTATTTTGGATTTTCTGTGCTTACACATTTCAGTCTAAAGACAATAATGATCTAACTACACTATCAGGTTTCACATATCAAGCGATCTCCTTTTCTATATTTAGATTTGAAGGGCTCATCTTAATGTTTCACTCCAGAAACCTCACAGGTCAGAAGATGCACTTGTAGTGTACACCCCAATAACCTGCAAACCTCCTAAAGACATGAAAAGGAAGTCATAAGCTTGCAAGAACAAAAAAGAAATGTGGAAGAGCAGGGAAATAAACAATAATATCAATAATCAGGAACTTTGAACATTTGAGAGATGGTATAGAAAAAAATTTGAAGGTAAAAACATTATTAAAACAGATGCAAAACATTTAACACACATTGAAACTCTTCCCTCAAGTAATGAAAAAAAAAAAATTCTCTTCAAGCAGCAGAGGACAAACTCAATAAGAAATATCTCAAGAATTCTTCAGATGAGATCTTAAAAATTACCAGTGGAGCACTGCAAAGCAATGGCTGCATTAGCGTAGCATGAAAAAAACCAGGTAGTAGCTGTCTCATGCAAATTCCTGCCAGCTGCTTTTGGCTTGTTCTGCCTAAGAAGTCTATTTCTATCTAATACATAAATATATCTTTTAGAACAAGGAAAGTGGTAGGGAAAAAAAAAGGCTTCTATGCATACTCTGTCATGGCTTTCTGCCTTTTTTTTTACCTCATTTTGAGTAACTGGTCTCTTCAACAAAAGTTTAGATTTGCTTTTGATGAATGTATCTTTTCATATTTTTTCCTAGACTTCGTTAAAGACTAAGTAATGAGATAATTGAGAGTGCTGAGATAAAAATTAGCATAAGGAGTGTTTTTAAATAGTTATGTAGCACTACTTTCCAATCAGCTGTGCACAAATTCTTAATTTACTTGCTATTTATCCTCAGCTCTTGTCAATCACAAAAAGTTTCTGATATATTTTTTATTCTTATACTGATTCTTATGATCTTTTTATCATCCCATCCTCACTTCTTAAAATACGAAGTCTGTAAAAGGGAAAAATCAAAAATGTCCAGATAGTCCAGTGTTCTTTATTCATCGCACTGAAAAAGTCAAAGCAGGAACAGCAGTATAAAATTCTTCTTGTTTCATAACAATTTGAAGTTACTAATAATTGTATTTTGTGAGTTCAGACCAACTTAATCTTGCCATCAGAAAAAAATGATCTTTGGTTTCTTAAGTGACCATAATTTAATTTTTGTTCTTGTATTACTAGTAAGCAATGTATTTTTGGAACATAAATTATCTGGTTTTGAGATCACAGTAGTTAAATTTATTTTTCTTTTCTTTGTGAGTTATCATATTGTAGTATATACTTTCTATCCAGTTGCTGTACATGTATTGTACCAATACTAAATAAAATATTTTTCAAAGAGTAACTTCAGCTGTGACAATTGTTTTCAACATACTCATTGGAAACATTCAAACTGTAATCTTGAAGGATATTTTATATGTTCGCCTTCAGGATGAAAGTTTAGGGCTTTTTTTTAGTGGGGTAATTAGGATTAGAGGAACCTTGTGTATTATATTTTCTTTTTAACTCTGTGACTCCCATACATGGGCCAGAAGCCATCAAATGCTTTACAGCTGTGGGAAATGGAAAAAATAGAAACTTCCACAGACACTGAAGGGTTTGATTTGCAGCCTTGGAAAGAGCTTGGATTAATGTAATGATAAAGGTACACAGACATTAAGTAGAAAAATTATAAACTTAAGTTCCCATACTTGCAAGTAAGAATACGCTTTAGGTAAAAAAGAAACTGTATTGAGTAAGATGGTGAAGGGTTTTAGGCTGTAATAGTGTGATTTCATAGGGTAAGTTATGAATCTAGAGGTTACAATAAGAAGCATGTGTGTATGTGAGCTAACAGTCTATTGGCTGAAAGACAGATGCAGTGTGACAAATTAGCAAAGATGATAGGTTATTAAGTAAAAACAAACTTCGTGTCAGCTGTCTATTGGAGCAAAATGTTATATATTGGTGTGTAACTGAGAAACTCGTGACTACCTTTGAGCTATGGCTGACTTGCTGCTCCTCAAAATCTCACACCTTTGAGACTGATGCCTTATCTGGTATATCTCAGCAATAAATCAAATTAATAGCACTGGTAATCCCATCCCTCATTATTTGAGGCCCAACATATAACTTTGATGTTTATTTTCAAATCTCACCAGACACGTGGTGCAAAGCTTAAGCATATACTACATGAGCACCACAATGATGACTGCACATCAAAATCAGAAAGAAATACCTTCTATCCCATTATTTAAGTAATGTTAATATCTTAATTTAACATTATAAAACTATGTGAATTTCATTTTTCATGTTTCAAATATTAATCTTGTTTTTTTAAAATAATCCAAGTTTCTGTGCCTTTTTTGCCTTGAAAATGCCCAAGACAGATTTGTAATCATTCCTTTTAGCTAAAAATACCATTTAACTTGCTCTTATGCAATTTCTGCCTGTAGCTCAAAAGTTGATGTGAATTGCAAGCCATCTCCACTATGTTTATACACTTGAAAAACATACATACTATTCTTTTGCTTTCTGTACACTTTCTGTGGGCTTTCAAGGACAATGGTCTCACACAGCTTCCTTCTCAGAATTTAACTCAAGACCTTCAAGACCCTTCAATAAAGAGTTTATGGCCAAGAACAAATGTCATGTAAAACATGATGTCTGTGTTTGTTACAAACAAGCACTAATCAAGTATATTAAAAATCATTAAATATATGTAGCTGAAGAAATGAAAATGCTGTTAGAATACTTACAGACTGGATAACGCATGTTTGTTCATATTTTCACCTTCCACTTCCACAGTGCATTAGCTTTGCATACTTTCTCTAGGTAGTGTAGTACATGACATAGATGTGACTTTCTGATAGAAGATTATGGCTTTTACAGCAATGTAATCAGAAATCCAAATTATGAAATGTGAAATCTAATTTCTTAATCAAGCTCCATACATCATGTAAGTTATTTCAATCCTGCTTTACTTGTTTTGTTACTTTTCTTACTGGAGAATCTCCTAAGAACACAAACTGAGTTATAACAGCTCCCATTACAATGGAGACCTCTGATTTCTCCTGAATTCTCAAGGTACCAATGAACATTTCAGAAAATGATTGAATTTGGGACAGTAGATTGATTGTCAGAATTTCCACCGACATTAATTTGGACTTAAAAAATATTTAACTGTCTGTGTAGGTCCCTTTGAAACCTCATCTAGGCATGAAAAAACTCTGTATTATAAACCCATGATTCATCTTCCCTCCATCTGGATGTTCTGTCAGCACACAAAAAATTCTTCCATACCTTGACCACCAGATCTGTTCTCCCAGTGATGATGTATAAGGAAGACACAGAAACCAAGGCCATATTTCTCTCTAGATATGAG